AGAAATTCATACAACTTTCATATATATATAACTATTATACAATCCATATATGAAAAGATCTATACATATACGGAGCGGAGCGGGTCGGGTGTTCATTTTTTTAAATTTTAGTATTTGTGATTTGTTTTGTTTTTAAAGGATATTATTGAATTGTAGTATTTACTTTATTTTATAGATTTACTGAATTTTTTGGATCGGATCAAATGGATGACAAATCAAAGTGAATATCACGGATAATTTGCCCAGCGCTTTCCTCTGTTTCTTATGAGTGTTTCCTGCTTATGATTCCAAATATGGACTCAAGTAATCAATGTTTTAATTGTTAAAATAGTTTTTAAGCGTATTTGACCAAACTGTGTATAGTTTGATAGATGAAAATTCATGAACACGAAATCAACATCCGTCTATAATAAGTTTTGCTAATAGGATTAATAGGGTCAATTGTAAGAATAACCAAAAAAATCAATAATTGGGAAATTTGTTACTGACAAAAAATAAAATAAAAAAATACAGTAGTAGAATGAGATAAACCCAGTGGCCAAACAAAATATTTGTGGGCAAATTTCTGAACGCCAGCGGAGGCCGGAGATTTGTTTCCTGCGGCTGCGCTTCTACCGCTTCAATCGTTAACGCGAGAATGGAGAAATTGTTTGACCACCGGGAACTTCTGATGGCGAAGGCGCCTCTTCTCTTTCTCTCCGGCGGGAGGTTTCGCCGTGGTTTTATCACCGGAGCTTCTCATTCTCTCGGTGAATTATCTGAACAGGTTTATCTTTGAAACTCCGAGATTTATTCCTATTTGAGTCCCAAGGAAAAGAATATGGATTGTGATTTCTTTTACTACTCTTAAACCAAATATGATTAGGCTAATCACATTGGCTAAACTTACACATTATTATTATTGAAAGGAGTCAAACAAAGAAAAGACATTCTTCTTGGATTTGTCGTAGAGGATAATTGATTCTCTCTCTTTGATGTAGCCATTTATTCGGGTCTTAACGTGCTTCTTGGTCTGGTCCATATTTTCCATTTAGTGATTCCATGATAGTTGGAACTTTGTTGGTGAATCTGTCACTTAAAAACACATTTACTCATTTTCACCTTTGACTCCGCAAAGGCTTTTCTTTTAGTGTCCGATTTGAGTTTGCTTACGTATTCGCTACTCTTATTCTCCTTCTTCTTGTTGCATGGTGAAAATACATTGACTTGTCAAGTCTTTCTTTTAGTGTGTGATTTGGGTTTTGATTATTTGTTCGCAATTTATCTTTGCACACCCTAGCCAATGGTTTTTGTTAATTTTTGGTGGGGGAGTTAAAGACTTAAGAGAATATGGAGAGTTCTCTTGGGATTTTGTTGGTGCTAGTAACTATGGCCATCATTCATATTGTTGAAGCTGAAGACCAAGGTATCAGATTTCTTGTTTGTTCTCGTGCTTCCTTCCTACTTCTTCTATAAACGTTTTGGTGCTCATGTCTGTTAACAGGGTTCATCAGTTTGGATTGCGGGCTACCCGCGTATGAACCGTTTCCTTATAAAGAGACTCGTACTGGACTGTGGTTCTTTTCAGACGAAAACTCCATACAGACCGGAAAAACTGGTCGAATCAGAGAAAACCCTGAAGGATTCGCGAAGCTATACGAGACGCTAAGATATTTTCCGGAGGGAATACGGAATTGCTATAATCTGAGTGTGGAGAAGGGACGTACATATTTGATCAGAGCTTCCTTTGTGTATGGAAATTATGATGGTCTTAACAATAACCCCAAGTTTGATCTGTATGTTGGACCTAATCTATGGGCAAATATAAATTTACAACTAGTGAATGGTACACGGGAAGAGATCTTACACATCCCAACATCAACCTCGTTGCAGATTTGTCTTGTTAAGACTGGGGAAACTACACCGCTAATATCCACCTTGGAATTACGGCCGATGGGAAATGGTTCTTATATCACAGACTCTGGCTCTCTGAAACTTTTCTTCCGTAGATACTATAGCAAGTCAGGATCTAATCTACGGTAAGTCAACTTCAACAGAACGATATCTCTTCTTTCTGCTTTGTTTTTCTGTGTCCCTGTTTTGCTTCTGTATGTTCGCCTTTGTCTTTTACACCTCTGTGCTCTGTTTCCAACACAGGGTTTTCAGCTAACACAACATTATGTATGTCATCTGTCGTTGCACTTATAGAAAAAGTGCAATGAAAGATGTCATATATGATGTTTTATGATAAGATTACAGCGGTCCAAGACTGTGAAAATGATATTGTTCATCCTATTTACTTATTTCACTGCTAAAACAACATTGTGCCCATCCCCAGGTACTCCAACGATGTCTATGATCGCATATGGAAATCGGACTTTAAGATGGAATGGACCCAGATTTCCACCGCTCTCAAAGTGAGCAATTCCAACCATTATGTTCCACCGGAAGATGCGCTAAGAAATGCTGCCACGCCTACTAATACCAGTGCACCATTGACAATTGAATGGAGTTCGGAAAATCCTGATGACCAATATTACTTGTATGAACACTTTTCTGAGATCCAAGACCTGCAGGCCAATGAAACCAGAGAATTCAACATTTTCTTGAACGGAGAAGTTTTCGCTGACCCTATAATTCCTAAGAAGTTAGAGACAATTACTAGCTTTAGCGTGTCTCCAAGGACATGCGATAAAGGGGAGTGCAGTTTGCAGCTGGTAAGAACCAACAAATCAACTCTTCCACCTTTACTTAATGCTATTGAAGTCTACACAGTTATTCAGTTTCCGCAGTCCGAAACGGATGAAAACGACGGTATGTGTGTTCCTTTCAAATTTATGCATACAAGATTTATGCGTTCTTATGTTAGTATAGAAACAAAGCATAAATAGAATAGAGTACTCAAGACATTAAAACCACTTTTTGTCAGTGATTGCGATAAAAAACATTGAATCCACCTATGGATTGAGTAGAATCAACTGGCAAGGCGATCCATGCGTCCCTCAACAGCTTAAGTGGGACGCTTTAAATTGCAGGAACACGAATATGTCCAAGCCACCAAGAATCACTTCTTTGTAAGTCGAAAGTTTAGAAGTACACATACCCACACTTGAAGATATTTAGTAATTATGATCTTTAATACTTTAAATTTGGTTTTTAACATTTCGCTAGAAACTTGTCTTCAAGTGGTTTAAATGGAACCATAGCACTTGGCATTCAAAATCTTACTCAACTAGAAAAACTGTAAGTATTTCCATTGTTTTTATATGGATGGGAATAAATTTAATAAACCTTCAAGTCTTTATTCTCTCTTACCAACATTAGGGACTTGTCTAATAATAACTTGACTGGAGGGGTGCCGGAGTTTCTAGGCAACATGAATTCGTTGTCGGTCATGTAAGTTTCTCTCAACATGTTTTCTAATGTTTTTACTCCACCTCAGATCTCATGGTCGTTTTTAGCAGAAACTTGAGCGGGAACAATCTTAATGGTTCAATTCCTCAAGCTCTTCAGAATAAAAGAGGACTAGCGCTATCGTAAGAAACTTTCTACATAGCTTTTTGAACTTTTTTCAGTTATTATCTATAACCGTTTTCTGTATTTGATGTCATGGACTAAACATGTCTTCTTGTAGTGTTGAAGGAAACCCAAACCTTTGTCTCTCTGATTCATGTAGAAAACCACCTAAGAAGAAAGTTCTGCTTGTGCCAATTGTTGCATCAGTTGCTTCTGCAGCCATTGTCATTGCTGTATTGGTTCTTTTTCTTGTACTAAGAAAGAAAAAATCAACGGCTGTAGAAGGTATTTGCAAATTGCAAGAGAGGCATCAATTAATAAAACCTAAAAATCCTTGTGAATCTTGTTGCTCCTTTGCATTAAGATAAGTGGTACAAGAAAAAAACGTCCTTATTCTGATGATATACAGGTCTACACCTGCCACCAAGGATGGCAACGGTGAATGCTACATTTGCTAATTCACCTGAACCTTCATTTGATCAGAAAAGCAGAAGGTTCACATATTCAGAGGTTATCAAAATGACAAATAATTTCCAAAGAGTTTTAGGTAAAGGAGGGTTCGGCTTCGTGTATCATGGTACTGTAAATGGTTCCCAAGTAGCCGTCAAATTACTCTCTCATCTTTCAACTCAAGGTTACAAACAATTCAAAGCAGAGGTATTTGTAGTGATGTAACCTTGCGAATCAAACTATATGATCTGCTTTTAACATGACAAAAAGTTATGGATTTCTTTGTTTTCCTTAAATGGGTGCCTTAGGTTGATCTTCTTCTTAGAGTTCACCATACAAATTTGGTGAGCCTTGTCGGATATTGCTATGAAGGTGATCACTTAGCCCTCGTCTATGAGTTTCTGCCCAATGGAAACTTAAAACAACATTTGTCAGGTACTGTTTATAGTGATTGCTTTCTTAGCTCATGCTCATGGAACTTGGAAAAATCGGAAGAATCTAACGATCTTATATACAGGAAAAGGAGGTAAATCCATCATCAACTGGGGTGTTCGACTACGAATAGCCTTGCAGACTGCACTAGGTTTGTATCAAGTTATAAGCAGTAGAACAAGAATTGATTCATTTGTTTTTACGATAAATCTGTTGACATGGATGACTCAATTGCATAGGATTGGAGTACTTACATATTGGATGCACACCGCCAATGGTTCATAGAGATGTTAAAACGCCAAACATATTGCTAGATGAGCATTTCAAGGCCAAACTTGCCGATTTTGGGCTCTCGAAATCTTTCCAAGTTGGAGGTGGTGAAGCTCATGAGTCAACTGTGATTGCTGGTACTCTTGGATACCTTGATCCCGAGTAAGTATTTTGAGTTATCACATCACGCTAATTGTGTTGAAACTGACTTCCTTCTTCGACAGTTGAATTCATATAAATATTTCACCTACCTTGCAGATATTACAATTCAGGCCGGCTAGGTGAGAAGAGTGATGTCTACAGTTTCGGGGTCGTGTTGTTGGAGATGATCACAAACCAGCCCGTGATCTCTGAAAAGTCTCATATAACAGAACGGGTTGGCAATAAGCTTGATCGAGGTGATATTCATGAGATCATGGATCCAAACCTTTGCAGGGTTTATGACTCTAATTCTGCATGGAGAGCTCTTGAGCTTGCAATGTCATGCACAGATCCTTATTCTGCAAACCGACCAACCATGTCCCATGTCATTATCGAGCTAAAAGAATGTCTTGTGTGTGAGAACTCGAGGATAAGTAAAGACCGAGGCTTGGAATCTCAAGAGATGACCATTAACTTGGACACTTCGGAGGTTCCTGGAGCAAGATAGTTTGTGCAGCAACCAATCACGACAAGTTTGTGCTCTATGTTTATGTTTTTGAATTCTGTCTACAGATTTTCACATGAGATATGTATGAAATGGATTGTGATTTCTTATTCACTTATCTCTACTCTTACACGAGCTAATTAGGCTAAGCACCTTACCTAAACTTAATCGACTCACAAATTAGTTAGAGCTGTCAAACCAAAGAACGGACACTCTTGTTGGACACATCTTTATGTAATTGATCGTCCTTTGGTTTATTCTTCCCTTGGGTTAAGCTAGCTGTTGGGATATCAATCCAAGTCCCACATCGAAAGTTTAGACATGAATTGTCTAGTATATAAGTAATGTCCAACTTCAATTAGTATGAGGCCAAGAACAAATTCGTGCGGGCTTTGCTTCTGGGCCCAAAGCGGACAATATCATACTAATGGGAGAGTTGGACATGTGTTTTAAAAACCCCAATAAATGGTATCAGAGCCAAGGTTGGAGAAGTGGGTTGGACATGTTAGGTGACCTCGCGAATAAGGGTGAAGGGGAGATTGTTGGGATATCAATCCAAGTCCCACATCCAAAGGCTTTGCTTCTGGACCCAAAGCGGACAATATCATACTAATGGGAGAGTTGGACATGGACTTTAAAAGCTCCAATACTAGCCACTAGAACACTCATTTTCACCATTGAATTGTCAAAGTCTTTCTTTTAGTGTGTGTTTTGGGTTTTGCTTATTTATTCGCTACTTTTATTATTCTTCTTCTTGTTGCATGGTGAAAAGTGAAAACACATTGACTTGTCAAAGTCTTTCTTTTAGTGTGCGGTTTGGGGTTTGCTAATCTATTTGTTGTTTATCTTCGACAGCTTTAACCAAATGGTTTCTTTTATTTTTCTTGGGAGTTAAGATAATATGGAGAGTTCTCTTACGCTTTTGTTGATGCTAATCGGAACTTTGGCCATCATTCATATTGTTCAAGGTCAAGACCAACAAGGTGCGTCCTTCTCTACACTTTTTCTCTATGACAAATTCTTTTACAGACGTTTTTGGCTCTCAGAAGTGCACTGGTGTTAACAGCGTTCATCAGTTTGGATTGCGGACTACCCGCGAATGAACAGTCTCCTTATAAAGAGACTGAAACTGGACTTTCCTTCTCTTCGGACGAAAGTTTCATACAGAGTGGAGAAGCTGGTACTGTCCAAACAAATCTTGAGACTCCACTCTTGAAACCATACACAACCTTGAGATATTTTCGACAAGGAATACGAAACTGCTACAATCTAATAGTCGAGAAGGGCAGCAAATATTTGATCAGGGCATGGTTTACGTACGGAAATTATGATGGTTTTGACATTAAACCAAATTTTGATTTGTATCTTGGACCAAATCTTTGGGCCACTATAGATATGCAAGAACCAGGGAAGAATTATTGTACAAAGGAAGAGATCTTACACATCCCAACATCAGTCTCGTTGCAGATTTGTCTTGTTAGGACCGGGAAAACTACACCGCTAATATCCGCCTTGGAATTACGGCCGATGAGAGATGATTCTCATGACACTCAGTCTGGCTCACTGAAGTTAGTATCTCGAACATATCTTAATGAATCCAAAACTCTCATAAGGTAGCTCAACTTCAACTGAATTCCTCTGTTATTATGCTCTGTTTCTTGTTGCTATGCTCTGTTTAGGTAATAATGAAGCATTTTCTTTTTTTTTGTATTCTTAACACTTTAGGTATCCGGACGATGCCTATGATCAACTATGGACTCCAAGTTTTTCTCCTGACTTGACACATATATCCACCACTAGATCTGTGTACAATGATGACAAATACAATCTACCGAAAGACGTGCGAGAAAATGCTGCCACACCTACCAATGCGAGTGCACCATTGGCAATTCGATGGCGTTCAAAAGATCCTGGTGACCAATTTTACTTATATGAACACTATGCCGAGATCCAAGACTTGCAGGGCAATGAAACAAGAGAATTCATCGTGGTAGTGAACGGAGAAGTTACATCTGGCCCTGAAATTCCTAAATTTTTTAAAATAAAGACTATGGAAAGTATGAGCCCGATAACTTGCGAAGGAGGGCAATGCAGTTTGCAGCTTACAAGAACCGAAAGATCTACTCTTCCACCTTTACTTAACGCTTTTGAAATCTATAGAGTCATCCAGTTTCTGCAATCCGAAACAAATGAAAAAGACGGTAAGTTTCTGTATGTTTCAGCAAATCTTAATTAAACGTAATAGTATAACTCTAAGACAATTTATGTATTGACTCTAAAATCATTATAATTTTTTTTATGACAGTGGTTGCTATAAACAGTATCAAAGACTTATATGAATTAAATAGAATCAACTGGCAAGGTGATCCATGTGTCCCTCAACACCTTATGTGGCATGGTTTAAACTGCAGCAACAAGATTATCATCTCCACACCACCAAGAATCACTTCTTTGTAAGCTCTAATCTGAATTAGTACACACTCTAAAATCTGTTCTTTATCACTTTGAATGTGGTTTTGAATATATCACCAGAAACTTGTCTTCTGCTGGTTTAAGTGGAACCATAGCACCTGCCATAGAAGATCTCACACAGCTTGAAAAACTGTAAGTATATCCATTGTTTATTGAAGAGGAAAACTTAGATAATAACCAACTTAGAGAAACGTCTTCTTCTTTTGTTTATTCAATCTTCAAAACTTTAGGGACTTGTCGAATAATAATTTGACTGGAAAGGTGCCGGAATTTCTAGGCAACATGGAATCTTTGGTCTTTATGTAAGTTTCTCTCAAACATATTTGCTAATGCTTTTCCAAATATTACCTCCAATCATGTTTTCAAATGTAAAAGGATTGCTCATTTTTACCAGAAATTTAAGCGGAAACGATCTCGATGGTTCCATACCTCAAGCTCTTCAGAGGAAAGGCGTAGAGCTACTGTAATAATTTTTAACATCATCTACAACCATTTTTGCATGTGATAAAGTACCTTAAAACCGAAGCACCCTAAACCCTAAACCTCCCTTTTCTTGTAGTCTTCATGGAAACCCAAGACTTTGTCAGCCTGGTTCATGCACAAAACCAGATAGCAAAAACTTTCCAGTGGCAATTGTTGCATCTGCTGCTTCTATAGCCATTCTCATTGCTGCTTTGGTTATATTTCGTGTTCTTAGAAAGAAAAAGCCATCGACGGTGGAAGGTACCGTAATATGCAAGGAAACTCTCACCTAAGCAATAAGATATTTTAAATTATCATGACTAGTCTTATTTACACCCCTTATTGTTTCTCTTATAGTCACGGCTCCACAATTGCCACCAAGTATGATGCCCATGGTGAACGTTACAAGTGCTAATTCGCACGAACCATTAATTGAGATGAAAAGGAGAAGGTTTACTTATTCAGAGGTTATGGAAATGACAAATAACTTTCAAAGAGTTTTAGGTAAAGGTGGGTTCGGTGACGTGTATCACGGTACTCTGAATGATTCTGAAGAGGTGGCCGTTAAAGTACTTTCTCAATCATCAACGCAAGGCTCTAAACAGTTTAAGGCAGAGGTATTGGTAGTACCGTAAACTTTTTAATTAAATATGGTCTTTTTTCAGCATCACCAAAGTTATGGACTTGTTGTTTTATTCACAATGGTGAATTAGGTTGATCTTCTTCTTAGAGTTCACCATACAAATTTGGTAAGCCTTGTTGGATATTGTGATGAAGAAGATCACTTGTCTCTCATCTATGAGTTTGTACCCAATGGAGACTTAAAAGAACATCTATCAGGTTACATTTTCTAATGACTATGCATGCATGATTATATCACGAAACTCAGGGAACTCGTAAGAATATAATGATCTAAATAATATACAGGAAAACAAGGTAGACCTATCATCAACTGGGGTATGCGGCTAAGCATTGCTATCGAGGCCGCACTAGGTTCGTACTAAGTCATATATACAGCAAGGATTTATTTGATTGGTTTTACGATAATCGTTTAATATAGATGCTTCATTTCATAGGATTGGAGTACTTGCACATTGGATGCACACCGCCGATGATTCATAGAGATGTCAAAACTGCCAACATATTGTTGGGGGAGCATTTCAAGGCCAAGCTTGCTGATTTTGGGCTCTCGAGATCTTTCCCAATTGAAGGAGAATCTCATGTTTCAACGATGATTGCTGGTACTCTTGGATATCTTGATCCTGAGTAAGTACACAATATTGCCACGGTGGAAGTTGTCATTTCCTTGTTCAATCAATGGTTGGAGAGTATAAAAAAGTTCTTGCGCCTTGCAGATATTACCTAACATGTCGGTTGAGTGAGAAGAGCGACGTGTACAGCTTCGGGATTGTGTTATTGGAGATGATGACAAACCAACCAGTGATTGACCAAACCCGTCAAGAGTCTCACATAGCACATTGGGCACGGTTTGAGCTTAACGGAGGAGATATTACTAAAATCATGGATCCAAACCTACACGAGGAGTATGACTCTCGTTCTGCTTGGAGAGCCCTTGAACTGGCAATGTCATGCACAAATCCTTCTTCATCAAGACGACCAGGCATGTCACAGGTTGTTGCCGAACTAAAAGGGTGTCTTGTGTATGAAAAGTCAAGGGGGAATATGAATATGGAATCTCAGAGTTCTACTGAAGTAAGTGTGAACTTTGACACTGAGATGTTTCCTTTGGCAAGGTAGTTTTGTGTCTTGTCGCCGCCAAGTGCCAACCGTGTTTGATTGGTCCGTATTTGATTGGTTACTAAGTAAAGATTGTTTTTTTTTTATTTAAAAGAAAAAGAATGTTGGTCAAAGAGTCAACGGTAGTTTAATTGTTACTAAAATAAAGAATTAAAAAAAATAATTTAGTAGGGTCTAAACCATTGTAAGAATGGGTTAAACCCAATGGCCAAACAAGATTATCGTTTCCCTCTAAACCCTTCAGTCGTTGATCGCCGGATCCAATTTTTATTTAACCCTTTCTCTAAATACCTAACCACAACACCAACATTTAACCTCATATAACCCCCTATCCTTTCATGATAGAGGAAAAGATCAAAAACTCCAAACCAACTATTAAAAAAAACATTAAAAATAGAAATCGGATTCTTCTTGTTCGCCGATCCCGTCGAAACTCCTCCTCCATAGAAGCTAATGAATTAGCTATTGAAGCATCTTAGTTGAAGCTGAATCTGATTTGAGGTGCGTTCTACTATGTTTTAGCTTTAAATGAAGTAGTTAGTCTCCAATTTTCGTTTTGAAGAAAAAGAACATTGTTGAATCTGATTTGAGGTGGTTCAATTAGATTTNGATTTGTANATTATCTTATTCGTTGACGATAGTATNTGNGTNGATTAGAACATTGCATTGGTTACTAATGCAACATCTCATAGTTGTTGAATCGTAGATGATTAGTAAATCTCGAGCCCGATTTCATACTGGGTACTACTGAC